GTTTTAAATGCAAGTGACAATATGATTTATTTAAGATACATAAGAAAAGTATATGTATGCCTATTAAACATATCCCGTATATGTTGGTTACGTTATTATGTAGACAACTAATGCAACATTTATAACAATTAAATGCTCAAAGGTCCAATTACAAAAGTAGTAACACGAAATAATATTATTGCATAGTGTTCATTCTTATTGCAAACTATTAAGAGTTCACAAAACTAAAATAGTCCTGAATGCAGCGGGAGAATAGGAAAGTTAAGAACAAAGCTGAATTGAATGTGACTATTATTTTACAGTTATTGCATTAAAGTTCAAGTTATGTGGGAGCAAATGTTTTACATTGAATCGTGAGAAATTACATAAATAATAGCACACGCATGTTACAAATTCGCATAATAACGGTGCTTCTCCAATTCAAAATTCTCGGAATAAATAATTTCATTTATAGCTAGATTTACATTAATTAATTTTATGCAGGATGATATTTAACTTATTTTTTGATACTACAAATTTAACTTTTTTTTTTTAAGACAATTCACACCAATAGACCTAGTCCCATGCTAAGCTGGTGAAGCTTGTGTTATGGGTACTAGGCAACGGATATACATACATATTATAGATAGATAGACATATAAATACATATTTAAACACCCAAGACCTAAGCACAACACCAAATGCTCATCACATCGATGTTCGTCTCAGCCGGTGATCGAACCCGGGACCCATGGTTTCGCAGTTAGGGGTACTAACCACTAGACCAATGAGTCGTCTTCACTATTGAATAACCAATGTACATTCTTTCTAATATACCTGGAGATAAGCTATAAACAAATGAGGCCATATTCATATATTGAATGCATTTTATCGTTTTTACCAATATTGAACGGAAAGTATTAATATTCAACTAAACAAATTAATCACGAGCGTACGTGGATTTCTTAAGCGATAAAATCTTATGCGAAATCAGAATTAGTGCTACCAGTGCGATCTTGAAATAACGCATGCAACAAAACAAAATAAATCGAGGTACAATAAAGGTGCTCGGCAGACAAACAAGAAAAGCAAAAGGATAACAAAGGGTACTCCTGAAGCGTTTTTCATCCTATTTAATTTTATTATTCCGGAACTTTTGGCTGCAATTGTAAATTGAAATTATTTTGCAGCGGAGAGGAAAATCTTACTTGATCTTTGTGTGTTTAAAGTTTTATATTTTGATGTTATACTATTAATTGTAATCTTGCACATATTATTCGATGATTTTCGTCAGCTAAGATACACGAAAGTGGATAAAACGAATTTCTATTAGTGAGACAATTCAGAATTTATACGTCGCTATATTTCCCGGAAGGACTATTCTTCATTCGGTAACCGAGACACGGTTATAATACGGCAGATAGATAACGAATAGTTTAGAAAAATATTACGTTTATCATTGTTCACTTTATATCTCAAGTTAAAAAACAAAAGACTTAAGAGCTTTAAGTGAAGTTAAGAAGTTCATTTCATTGAATGGCAAAGCTAATGTGTTGACGGACACTAGACACAATATAAATAAGCTAACCCAAGTGCGAAGTAGCCATCCTTCAGCACTTTCTCATGCAAAAGTCGAACGGTTACTTGAATTCTTAGCTGAAGTACTTGTCGGTTTACGAGCGTAGAGCGATTTAATCCACTTAAAACGCAAAGCACAAACTCACAGCCGACAAAGCTCTCAGCCGCTCTCATTTAAAAATGGAAATAAACTCGGAGCCATCTTTGAGTCGACGCGCGACCGCTGGTTGAATTCTAAGTGCTTCTACTGGCTTGGTGCCGATTCTTTTTTGGCTTGATGGATCGCATCCTGTGCGTCTATGTTCTTTCATTTACCCTCTTTGTTCATCTGACAATTCATTCAAGAAAGCCATCGTCCAGTCGTCACGAGTTATTTGTAGATCAAGCGACCACAATAACAATTTCAAACATTCGTGCTCGGATATGTTATGTCGTCAGAAAAGCTGTTTCAATAGGGTAAAAATATGTCGGATAGGAAATACTATTTGCATTTTTAATAACGTTGGAGGCTATATGAATTAATGCTTGTTTGTATATTTAAGACTAAAGTCACCGTCTTCGAGATATCACTCGGCATTTGCAATGTTTATTCAAGAGTACCAGGGAATTACTTGCCCGAGGAGCATGTCTTTGGACCAAGTCTTAATGAAAGAGTTCGTTTGCGAGCAAGATTATTTCGTTTTTGTTTATTTATGTACTTTCTGGCCTTCCGCGAGTAACGACTTGGCTTGTCTCGCGTTATTAACTTTCACTTCAGGTCAACATCGTTCTTTAAGCGTTTTCTGATGTATTTGTTTTAACAACTGTAAAATATATTTGTCATAAATTATATGCTTATTACGGTACAGTTACCAGACAAATAATTTAAGATGAACATGACAGCGGTCAGGATTCTTATGAAAAATAAATATATTTACGGCGATATGCATTTCATATTTTCGTTTGTTTAATGCTTCATGAGTTGAATTTTTTGCAAGTATAATCTTTTTAAATAAAAATATTGAGAGGTTTATTATGTTATATACATTGCATACTATTTTGACTGAAGGTAATATTTTAGTAGGTACTAAAATATCAGTTAAAACAGAATTTAATATTACAATTATAAACTTTATTAGAATCAGATTTACCAATTACCACCATTTGCTCTAATTAAAGTTAGTATTATGCCCTGATTACATAATTCCGATTGCAGTGTTTAGGCAAGAGGCGCTACAACCTCTTTAGGTCTTCGCCTCAGATTTCTGAATCTGTTTCATGATCATTTTTAAATCTAATAGGCAAGTAGGTGATTAGTCTCCAGTGCCTGACACACGTCGTCGACATTTTGTGTCTAAGACATGTCGGTTTCCTCACGATGTTTTCCTTCACCGTTCTAAATGCGCACTTATAGAAAGAAAGTCCATTGGTGTACAGCCGGGGATCAAATCAAACCTGCGACATCAGGTATGAGAGTCGCACGCTGAAGCCACTAGGCCAACACTGCTCAAGTGTTTATGCAAAACTGTGTTAAATATCGTGACATGTTATTTTAAGGTACAGGTGTGACAATCTACGATGAACACAGCTCGCACGTGTGACCTAGCCATTAATAGAACAGCGCCTAGAGGAATCGTGTTTACTTACAGCATGCAATTACTTAGTTGATACATTGTTTACAAGACGTTTGAATACTCTAAATTGAAGTGGAGCTGTTGTTGTTCAACAATGTTGTAAATGCAGCTAATTAATTCATTTGTTTGTATCCATATAATCTAAATCTCCGCATCATTAGTTGTAAACAGGTAATTCAAATCCCAGGCGATTTTTCTGAGAAAAAGTTTAATGGAGTTACGTTATTAGTTCGGAGTTTGAATGTACCAATGATAAAAAAGATTCATAAACTTGTGGTTTGTTCCATGGATTATATAAATCATATTAATGTAATAACGACGAAAATTTTAAAATATTTTTGAAGTGATACTTCTTTCGGCGCATGAGGGTACAATTTTTAAAAAAAAAACGTCACGAAGACGTGCAGTGTTTTTGTCGAAGAAAAGGGAGAGAGCTATTGAGGCCGATTGAGAGAGAGTGAGAAGGGCGAATTAAAATTTCGTAAAGAGAATTTATGAAATATTAGTATTTTATATTTTATGCATAATAATTAATTGAAATCTCAAATGACGAATTGTAAATTAAAATGCCAATTTATTATCGAAGAAATGAATTAAAAATTAAATTTATTATTTGTATTAATTTTCGACACTTAATATGTATTTTAATGACAATTAAATTCCTAACATATCTTCCTTTTTCCCTCCCTCTAAGTCTCGGAAATCTAAAGTTTTAGATTTGTATAAATATGA